CCACCAACGCTGACACACAGTGCGTATGAGTTATGCAGATAACAGCCGCGGTTTTTCAGCAACCTCTGAGAGTGTGTTACTCAAAGGCATCGTAATTCTCGGCGTTTTTTCTGTTGCCGAGTCCAAGAAGGGTGTGCTCTATATCATGTTCTTCTTTTGCGACTTAGCTGAGTTATTGAAGCCATTGAAAGTGAGGTTGGGTTATTGTTAGCGGTTCGCTGAAGTTTTCTTGTCGTTTTGCCATACTCTTTAGCCAACCAATGAAAATATATATTTTTTTTTTAAATTCCTGTTATAGGAATGATTACTTTTTAGATGGGATATTGAGATAGTAACATATCTAAATTCAGGTTTTGCTTAGCTGAAAAAATGCATATATAAATATATTATCTTTTAGCTGGACAGGGTATTTGTAAATTTCAGCTTCCCTACTTGTGGTGTGCTTTTGTAGATTTTGTTGTTTCAGCTTATTTTGTGGTTTTTTAAGCGCATGGCTTTCCTTTAGTTAGGTTATTTGGATTTTCATACTTTTTTGTTTCTTTTAGTGCGGAGCTTGGCAAATTTAAATTAAAACTTCGGCACTTTGCATTTCATCCTTGACTTTATGACTTGGGTTAACATGGCAATGAAATTTCTCTTCCCTCCTGTTTTTTCTGGGGTTTGTATGTGAAACTTTGTGTCGACATTGTGGTTGTAAAGCGTCAAACGCTTAAAACTTAAATCAGTTTTTATTTTTATTATTATTTTTTTTTATAATTGTATGCAATGGCTGCCAGCCACACGGCTGAAACGTCGCTGTCGTTATCGCTTAAGTTTAAAGACTCGAAATTTGCAAATTGGCTAACTCCGCGCTCATTCCCACTTCGAATCTGCTTCATTTCATAAATTGCCAACGCGTTTTGCATTCACATGAATTGTTTCGAAATTTTGAATATTTTATTTTTCCCAACCAGTTCTCGTGTGCCTGAAATTTTGGGAGTGCTCTTCGTCCTGTCGCTGAAATGTAAAATGCTTCTTTGAATATTTTATACATTTTTCATTCGCGCGTTATATCGCAAAATAATTTTCCACACATTCCTGGCGCAACTTTGACATTGAAGCGAGCTTCAATGTGAGCGCATGTGTAAGTGGGTGCGTGGGCGCCCGTGTATTTGTGTGTGCGTGTGTGTGTGCTAAACATCTGAAGCACGTCTGCCTCTTCGTAAGGGGGCCACCGACATTATGATGCTATGGCGCTGGACCTGCTGCGGGCTCCTGCAATTGCATGCCTTGGCCTTTAGCACCCGTTTGCCAGTAAATTTGCATATGTGTGTGCGTTGTATTATGACGTGTGAGCGGTTGCGTGTGTATGTATGCGTGTGTTGGTATTCATTTTGTGTTAAAATTTATGCAATGGCTTAAATAAGCGCAAAAATGGCATTTTACCCTTGGCAAGTGACAAAAATGTGTGTGTTTAGTAAAAATAATTATGCAACACACATTTTTCAGAGCAATTTTTTCCTGTGCTTTTTTTTTTATTCTGTCTAAAGGTGCCACCGAGGAGCGGAAGAGCAAATTTTAGGGGCAGCATTTTAAGTATTTTATGTCAAGTGAAACTTTGTGCACCGCAAAGTGCTTTTCTAAACATTTGCAGATGGCCCTCGGGGCTGCTGCAGCAAGTTCAGTGTGTTTACGTGCATGTTTGCATGGAATTCTTCTTAGCACAGCTTTTGGTTGGGTATTACAAGGTAAGGTCGATGTGTAGACCACATTTAGTTTGTTGACAAAACAACTCGACTGGACAAAGCCACGAGTTAGATCTCTGAAGCAAGTTGTTTAAAAATAGCAAATGCTTTAAATTCTTCTGCGACGGTGCGTATACTTTATGTAGCATATGCAAAGTAATCGCCAGCAATGTTGTCTTTGGGCTTCAATTTTCTTTCATACACACACACCCACCCACACACACACACACACATACACACATTTTTTGCGGTTTTCCGTTTACCTGTTTATGCAAAATCAATAAACAGCTTGCGACAAGTGTCAAAAGCGAGCTCAGAAAAAAATTGTTTGCATGTCAAAGAGGTTAGCACCTAGCAACAAGATGATGATACGCTTTCAGCAAGGCCAAGAGCAAGAGCCAAGGTGGAAGCAACTGAAAAAAAATTGACAAAGTTAAGTTCTGAAGGGTTCAAAGCTCAGGCAAAGAGAGCGAAACAGGGAAAGGTAGAGCAACACATCAAAAATCAATTTCCTGCTAGAGCAAATGAAAAGCGAAAACTTTTGGTATTAGTTGGCAAAAGTGAAAGTCAGGCTGGGCCAAGAAACTTGAAAGTTGGCCACAACTTTCACCTGTCACTGCTGCGTTGGCAATAAAAACGATCGCAGTCAAAGCCAAATCCGCTACCACAATCAGACAAACAATCAATAGTTTGATTAGCTCCGAGTGCCACGTGTTGACGCTAACAATAACAACAACAACAGCAGTCGCACCAAAAACTACAGGAAAGAATCAGCTCTAAGCCAAAAAGTTTTGACAGCAAAAAACTTTTAACTGTTGCTTATCTGTGAGCGCCCCGAAACTTGGTGCAGCAGCAGCATCAGTAGCAGCAGCAGCGCCCGCAGCAGCAGTAGCAGCAGTAACGCCCACAACAGCAGCAGTTGCCCGCAGGCATTTAGCTGGCATTTATTTGAGCAGATACATATATTAGCTGTAGTATGTGTATTTATGTGTATGCATAAACACAGCTGAAAGTCAAATGGCAAAAATATGCACATAAATTTCAAAGATTTAAGTGCAAAAAATAAAAACTTGCAAATGCGCACAGATAACCAAATACAGCAACTGCAAAACAATGGCAACAACAACATCAACAGAAACAACAATTACAGCAAAAACATCCTCATCAAGGAGCAGCAGCAGCAGCAGCAGCAGTGAGATACATTTAATAAAATTAAACAAATTGCAGGGCCCTCTACCTTGCGGCCTTCTGATGCTGCTGCTGCTGCTGCTGTCGAGCGGAGAGCTCTTGCCGAGTCTTGAATTATTGTCAACGAGCGACAAACTTTTTTGTTTTTTTTTTTTTACAAATCCCTCGACTGCCACGCCTCCTGCTGGCTGCCAAATACAAATGAGTTGTCTGGGGCGGGGGGGCGAAAAGCAAACGACAATTCATGTAAATTGCTTAATTTATTAGACTTTTTGCTGGGTCGGGCGGGCAAAAGCAAAGCTCCCTACGCCCACTCCTAAAGGGCGCCTCGCACATCCGGCTGAGCCATGTGGCTTCTTGCCTTTGACTGTGTCGCGACTTTGGCTTAAGTATTTCATAGCTTGCTATTGTTGTTGTTGCTGTTGCATGGCTGGGCTTTTCTATTTGCACGCTGTAACAATTTTGCGCTCGGGCTTTGACAGGCTTTTGTTTTATTTGTCGGTACAAAAGTTTTGCCAGCCATTTTCTTGACGCTGCTTTATTTTCTTTCCCCGTTTGCCAACATTTCAACGTTCTTCTTCTTTGTGCTGTTCTGCGAATTTGTTATCTTAATTCTTGTCATTTAAAAAATCTGCCACCATTTGTTTTTAAATAAAACTCAAGGCAATTGAATTTGTTAACGCAAAGTTTTCTACCTTTTTTTTTTCCCAATTTTAGCGTGTCATTTTTGTTACTCTTAATATGCTGGAAAACAGACGGACATATGTATGTATAGGTATATATATGTGTGTGTACCTAATGTGGCAGCAGCCAGGCGAGAGTCTCGTGTTTCGCATACGCCCCGATGCCGTTAGAAACGTGTGGAATATGGGCAACTGGCACGTAACGAAAGCAACGCACGATAAGTTAAGGTAAGCAATTCTTATATTACGCCCTTCACCCCGCAGTTCTGTCGTCGTCAGCTTAATGGCAGCATTCATACAAATCACGGCTGCCTGCGCCGGAGCTTGGCTGCCATTGCACTTTTCACTGTTGTTACTGGCACTGCCACTGCTGCTGCCACTGTTGTTTCCTTTCTTTTTATTATTATTATTTTTTTTTCGGTAGTGGCATGAATAATATGTACACGGAGAAATTCCATAAAATGCAAGTAAAAAAGGGAAAAGCAGCTCGAGTAAAGTGCAAGCAATGCGCGCCAAGCCATATACACACACTAACACCCGAATCGGACAAGCCGTATACACACACACACACTCTCTCACATACGCACACTGACACATGCACGTTGTGGTAAGGCACGAGTAGCCAAAAAACTAGGTTACAAGTTGCAACTTGAAACTTGACGGCGTTTCTTTTTCTGCCGGCAGCTGCAACTGTAACTGCTGCTGCTGCTGCTGTCGCGCTCAAGTTAAAGCAAAATAATATAAATATGCAACATACCAGAAATGTTGGTGAACTTCCTGCTAGAGCTACGTTCAGTAGCAGCACTTAGACACACACACACACAGAAAACAGTTGGGCGAGCCACAATGCCGGCTATCACTGGACAAGTATCATGTAGTATCGCGTCATTTGGCACTCGGACTTGGCTGCTAAGCCGGCTAAGTGCACACCAGAAACTGGCCCGAACTGCTCCACTTTGTTGGTTGCTGGCAACTGGCAAGCCGCCGTCGTTGCAAAGCCGATGCGGCGAAATGGCAGCCGAATGATTTGCTCTGTATTCGCCTTTAACTGCCAGTATTCGCTTGCGAAATTCGAAAAGCGAGAGAGCATCAGGATGCGGAAAGAGAGAATCAGAAGAAGAGAAAAGGCATCCGCCGTGTGGGCCGCTCTTTTGGATTGTATAACAGTTTCTCGACATACAGTGTTCCATTTTGCTGATATCCTGGTGTGGGTGTGGGTGTGTGTGTATGTGCGTTTGTGTGTGTGGTTATGTGTGTGTTTGTGCATTTGATTGTGTGGGTGTGTGAAATTGTGTCATTAGGTGCATTTGTTTTCGTTGTGCTTCCCCATATTCCCCGTGTTGCTCTTCTTGTTGTTGTTGTTGTTGCTGCCGCTGATGTTTGTGATGCTTCTTTTTCATGCAGTGTCACTGTTAGCTAAACTTTGTCTGTGTGTGTGCGTAGGTGTGAGTGCTTTGCCCGTCAACGGGGCGCCGTTCATTCTCTTCTAACTAAATGCCACGATTATGTTTCGGAGTCTCATTAGTTGCAACTTAAAGTCTTCTAAAGCGTCAACTAGCGGCTACTGGGGCTGTGGCTGCGCGGGGGATGCGCTGTGTAAATGATGCCGTTAATGATGTAAGTGCAAGCGAGTCAAGCACCTTCTTTTTAGGTCGAGCTTGTGTGTCAGGTTTATGAGATTGTTAATTGGTATTAGCTGCAGTCTCGCCTTTTTGCGCATACATCCCCACATATATGGATATCTACTTTTATCGTTTCACCCGTGTGCTCAAAACCCAAATGAATTTGACAATGCAGCAGGCACAGAGACTAAAACAAAGCAGTCATAAAATGGCACAACTAATCACGCTGACGTTGACAGAAAAGCAGAGACAAAAAACAACCAAAAACACGAGCAGAGCAGCCACAACAAACAACGTCAACAATGGAGCCGCCTATAAAATTCACATGCGAGCGTGTTTAATGGAGGCCCAGCCCACCGAAACGGAACCAGCACACAGGTTGTATGTATGTTGATCCATGCTCCTGACCAGGATAGGTCTACAGGTCATAGCTGGGCGGCATGACTGCTGGCTGCTGGCATGTCCGTGGCAACTAATTTAAGCAACGCCGTTATAATTACAGCGTGTGCAGTGAGGGGCAGTAAAAGTGCTGGAAAATGATGCGCACGTGACATCCGGCAAGGCGTCACGATGGTCAGGTGGATTGCTGGCCAAGGGCTGGGTTGGCCAGGCCAAAAGGCACAAAGTGAAAAAAATCTGCCAGCCAGCCAGCTAACTGACAACAACTGGATCAGCAGAGGACCAACAGCGGGAGCAGCTAGCACAAAGGCCAGCAAACGAGACACACAAGCCAAAAGCAAACAAAAGCCAAGTAACCAACTGCACTGCAGTCCTCTTCCATCCGCCTTCTAAGGGGAAACTTCTTTCTTTTTTTTTTTTTTTAGAAAATTATGCGCTAGTCGCAAGACGCAGTCGGCTCATTTTCCATTTGTTAGTCAGCTCACAGGAGCTAACAGGCAGTTGAGTACTCTGCTATGGAACATAATGTGCAGCCAGGGCATGTAATTTTATACAAGCGTGTGAGGGGGCAGACTATCTACTATCTACTAAGGGAAGGAATCTCTGAAGAAAACCCCTTTGAAATCAGGTGCATGCAATGAGGTTATGAAGTTAGGGTATACAAACTTCGTTACAATATTGTGCTTTTCTAAAGGAAGCATGGGTTTGAAAATGGGAATGAAAGCCTGGGCAGGCGCTCAAGAAAATTAGTCGCGCTTTTGCGCGCTCGTCGGAAAATAATAAAAACTGAAGTGTAAATTTACTTCCGCTGCAAAAATGTGGGCGCATGCTGACAGCTGCTGGTTTGGGCGTGGATGTAGGCGTGGGCATGCCCCAAAGCGTCGAGGTGGACGCTGCAACTTTTTCTAATTAAGCGTACGTGCGACTGTCAGCAACATCACGAGCCACGACCCCGGCTACGACTGAGGCAAAGACAGCGGCAAAAATGAAAGCGGGGAGTGGATTAGGGGCAGGAGCACGGACAGAGCAGCTAACTGCTAACTTGTATAACTTATTGTCGTTGACAATTGTTTTAATTGAAAAGTGCCAGTGCCTCTGAATATACATATGTATATATTTATGTATGTATGTGTGCGTGCGTGAGTGTGTGCTTGGGTGTGCGTAGGTTGGGTATGTATACACAGGTAGAGAATACTCTTGAGCTGCTTAAGCCAACTTTAAGGCAACTCCCAGGCAATAACAATAACAATTCAATCAACGCTGCCGTCCGGCTAACAAATGCTGACTCATTTATTTGCCAGATGCCAGACAAGAGCGTACATCCATGAAATACTTGGCTGAGAGAAGCGTTGGCAACATTTGTAAGCATTTGTCTTGCCCCAAGGCGTTGTAGCTGGCGCAGCACAGGTCTCTGCCGTGGCCCACACTTGACTTTGCACGCTCTTTGCTGCCATTCGGCTGACCAGCTTGAGCTAACAAATGCTTGAACGTAACTTGAAGCTATAATTGAAGGCGTAGCTGCTGCCGGAGTTGCATTTGCAGTTGCCATAGTAGCTGCAATTGTAATTGCTCTTGTTGCTGTTGTTGTTGTGGCACGCCACGCTTCGATTAGCGCCGGTCGCATAACTCAAGACACGACTCAAAATCCATTTCCTGCCACGTCGTGGCGCAACATTGCACATTTATCAAGCGGGGGCGACACACACGGGGCTTAGCTGTGCATCATAAATAAGCCTATACGCGATGCAAACGGTAGCCAAGTTTGGCACCCGTACTACCAGCCTGTGTCTGCAACTTTCTTAATTTTCGTTTGCCGTAAATTTACTCGGGCCAAGCCCACGCCAGCAGATCGCTCATACGACTTGCACCCGCCGCCACATTCTAAGATATCGCCGTCATATTGTTGTGCAACGCAGCGTCGCGGAAAATCGGTTAAGATGCCTCTTCAAGGCTTCGCAAAGTTTACCCTTTTTTTTCGAGCACCTGGCTTCAGCTGGCGCCTACCTTAGTTTTGTCCGTGACTGCGACGGCTCAGTCACCGGTTTGAAGTTTTGCCAGGTTTGCGTGTTTTTAGTGTGATTTCCCGCTGCCATTGCCCCCGTGCCTACATTCAATTGAGATTTCCATTCGAAGTCGCGTCGTTTACTTTTCGATTCGTTTCGTTTTGCAGTCTGTAATTACGAGCTGGCGCTTTTGATGCTTACGGTTTAACTTTCAACAGCTGTAACTCCCACTTTTCCCACTTTTCCAATTCAGGGAGTTGACTAAGTTTCCCCGTCGCCAATTGTCAGTTGCCAGTTGCCAGTTGCAAGAGAACCAAAGCAAACCCTAAAACTTAGACATACGAGTGTATACAGACATTTATACTATATAATCGACATTGTCGATTTCCGCGTGTTTTTGGTTTTTGCACCAAAAGTTTCAGTTAGTTTTGTTTTGTTGGCATTTCTAATGCTTTGGAATAAGTTCTTGCTACTTTTTGATTGCGTTGCACTTCCAATTGCAATTGCGAAAAGATTGCATATTTGATTTGTGCTGATTTGCGTTCCTTGGCAACACTTTGCTTAGCAGCTCATTATACGACTACGGAATTTTGTATGCATAAAAACCAGCAACAGGCTCTGGTCTGGTTCTAGAGCCAAAATGAATTCTCGGCAAATGTAAATGTTTGCCGCTACTCCTTAGCCGCTCTTCGGCGGATCCTAATTAGAAAAGTTGCCTCATTCCCGGATTACGCGAGTAAGCGTTACCCTTGGCTCCCATTTTACATTGAGCTCCATAGCGTCTATTAACGCAACATTGGCGTTAATAGAGTCCCAGCATTATTGAGAGTTTTACCAATGAGTTTGCCAGCAAGTTTAAAATTGTCAGCAAAAAAAAGGGTTAAAAAATCAAGGCGCAAAATACGGTTCACTTAATTTGCATTTAATTACAAAGTTATACAAAGTCACAAAAAAAAAAAAAAAAAAAAAATGGTCAAGTAAAGCGCATTAAATTAAGGCCGTGCCTGTCAAGCACCCTTGACGGACTGTCAGACCGGCAGACAGACCGACAGCTGCTCAATAGCAGGTCAATAGCGGCGCAAATATTTGCACAAACTGCGAACTGAATGCTTAAAATGTGTAAGCCTTTCGATAAAATCTCATAAATACTTATAAATCCGTATTATTTTTATACGTTCCCGATGTGAAACAAGTAAGAAAGCTCTCTGAGATATCTACTTTTCGACTTGCAGATACCCTCCAATGAGCTCTTAAGTAATCCTAGAAGCGCCCACTTTTCTATTAATTCGATATAAATGCAGTCATTAAAGAAGTTAACTTCGTAGTAAAGACATATATTGTTTTTTTTTTTTTTTTATATATTTATTTCTGTGAAGCCTGGGAAATAAATAAATGGGTTTGTTTTGCATCTGAGTTCATGGAATAAAGATACCTGGACATGCTACATGCATACCATATTCCTTCCCCATATTAATGAAACAAAAACACTGCCCAGTTTATTTCCATTGCTCGTTTGCATTAAGAGATTAAAATCGTGTTGGACCGTACGAAAAAATACCTTATAGCTGCAACACAAAACCAAACAAAAACGAGACCAACATGTAGGTTTTCTAGGGGGAAGGCTTCAAGAAATGGTTTTTAAATGTGCACGATCTGTAATTGATTATAAACCGAGTAAGTTGTTCGCGTGTTTTGCCCAAAATATTTGCTGGAATTGCTTTACTCAGCAGCTTCTCATAAATTCGCAATATACTTTTATTTTCTACTAGGGTTTCGCCGGCTGAGCATATGCAAAATAAACGGCTGATGCGTGAGACTCGCAATAGCAAATATAAAGCTGTGAATACAAGAAAACAGCTCAAGCGATTTGCAACGCCAGCTCAAAGAAAAAATCACAATGAGAATCTACGAGTAAGCTTGAAAAATGGCAAGTGAAAACATAAAATGCGCTTAAATATATATTGAAAAAGTTTTCATCGGCAAGCTTTGTGTTTGGTCTTCTTATAAGAATTTAAAGCTCTTGCAAGGAAACTGCCGGGCTGTGCTGATGGCCTGTTAATGAAATGAATGATGCAACAGCAGCAGCAACAACAATAATAAGGAGCAAAACACATTTCACAAATTAGCCTCAGCCACGCAGCCCAATCCCCGCCAGCCACATTGCTCCACTCGACCCGTATTCCCTGCCGTCGCTCCGGGTTACTGTGCAAGTTCAAGTGACGTGCGTGAATTTGCGCATTTCGTGCACGTCTTGCCGCCGTGGTCCTGTGTCCGCGAGATTTTGAGAATTGCTTTGGCAAAATGAAAGCTATTAAATGGTTGCTTCAACAGCAGCTGCCCCATTCCGCCCCTAGCTCGGATGCCCGCTCTGTCGTATAAAATGAATATTTTTATGCTGCAACTTACGCAAAAGTTCCCCATTGAAGTTTTGATTGATAAATGTATTTTTATCGCGCTCGCTTTTGGCTTTTTTATGACGTGCCTGGGACGTGAGCAGCGTCAGAGTAGCGTCAAAGCGCTGTCTTACATTAACTTACTTACTTTTCAAATTATCTGGCCAACATGAGTGCTTTTTAATTACAAATGCCACGGAGCAGCTCGTCTTCTAGCTTGGCAAGCTTTCTGCTTATAACCTAATACAAGTCCCCGTCGTCCTGTGAGCCACAAAGGCAGCAAGTGCATGATTAAATAAATTGGCATAAATTAAAAGAACATGTCGCCATGCCAACAATTAAATCAAAATTGTGGCTGCCAAAGCGGCCTGCTTTCTAAAAGAGTCGCTCTTACATTTGCTGTTGCTGTTGTTGTTTTATTATTCTGGCCCTGCTTACATTAACGTGAATATAGTATAGACTGGAGAAATACCCTATGTTGTTCCCCGCACGCAGTGCTGGTAATAAAGTTTTTGAAATTTCATTACATCGACCTCAAAGCATCGGCTATGCATATTGGATAACTTTTATTAGAGTACAATAAATACAGATGAATTTGTAATAAATATAGATAGTCAAGCTGAAAACTGTTTGAAATAATCCTAATTGTAATCTACATTGGTTTTTCGGCAATTATACCCCTCGCAGACATGTAAAGGGGTGTAAACATGATAATTATATCACCAAGGAAGTAAGGCGCAGCGTCAGGCTCTGCAATGTACAGAGTAACCGGCGGAGAATATCTTTGAAGTGTTTACGCTGGAGCGCGTTTTACGTGGGAGCCCCTGAGCACAGGACATGTGTGCACGAATACCCCTTTATGCAGGCATATGTTTAATGTCATTTGGACCGCAATTAGCAGTATGTTGCAGTAATACAAATATTTTAACGCGAAAATCTTAATGCATAATACTAGAATTCAATTGAGGCTTTTCGCATTCATGCAACATAGTATGAAAATAAAATTGCACACCAAAATTTATTGAAAATATTTTTAGGTATACATACGTGCAAAAATGCGTGTTTAATAATCGACGAGGCACAAGGCAATGATGCGTGGCCCAAATGGGTTTTATCGTGAAATGCAATAAAAGTAAAGTCTACTTTCGGGCTCCGGTTGCAGCGCCAATTGCGGCTGGGTAAAAACTTTTTTAATTGGCAGCGCTCGAAAATTGAACTCACGTTAAGCGTACAACAAATAGCATAAACAACTTTCCAACTGCACAGTTGGTGCATTTAAATAAACAAAAATTCCATACAATAGAACAAGAAAGAGTGTTAAAAAGAGATGTCGAATATTGAATGCCCTTCAAGACATATATAATATGATACCAAAAATGATATAAACTAGACTTGTTTCTATAAAAAACTTGTATCTTAGGTAAACAACCTTTTCAACCTGTATATGTCTTGGGTATTCCAGATGATTCCAAGCATATGCAGCAACTAATGAAACCACATTTCATGAAAGTATACACACAACATTTTTATTTAGCATTTATGCAATTCAATTTAGCGGAAGACAAACACATTTCTCGTAATGAACTAAAAGCCAGGCAAATTAAATAAAAAAGCATTAGAAGTAAGAGCCAAAAGTTTACTTCAAATAAGAACTAAATAGAGTAAATGGCAAACATAGTTTGCGTGTTACT